TGGCAAGAGTTTAGTTCCCAGAAGACATCTCTCTGATTTCAAGTGTATTTGATATTTTTGTCTTATTCTTTTCAGAGCTTTTCATGTGTTTGGTTACACACCCCTTAGTGTTCACATTTATTTATAATATATGCTTAAAATTTTCTTGTCTTTCAGTTGTGTGACTAATTTTTGTGCCTAGAGATGTTCTGAAAATGTAGTGTCTTTCTGTAGAAACAACAACCTTATATAACTTGTTAAGGCCACCCAAGGTCAATCATGAGAAAAATGTTGAGATTTTTTACCCACAATCCTTGTCCTCTGGCATTTTTTCACTCTAACTTGTGGCGATGGTTCTAGGCAGGACTATTATTTGTGGATCCAACAAATGAGGAATGATCCAAGACAAGGAATCTCAAAACCGCATCACCAGACTAGCAGAAAGGCTCTGTACTAATTTCAAGGGTATTTTTATATTTTGCTGCTTCTGTGGAGAACTGATAGTTGGTCTTTAGTTGGTACCAAACCATTTAAACCAGGCCTCCCCAAGCTGCGGCCCCCTGAGGCCATTTCTCAGGCCCCCCGCCGCACTTCAGGAAGGGGCACCTCTTTCACTGATGGTCAGTGAGAGGAGCACAGTATGTGGCGGCCCTCCAACGGTCTGAGGGACAGTGAACTGGCCCGCTGTGTAAAAAGTCTGGGGACGCCTGATTCAAACTCTTGTGTGTAAAACAGTGACATACAGAATGAACTGTGAGGTGCATCTTCTCTGTCTTCCCCCTCAGTTTCTCTCTAGCTGCCTTACAGTATTCGTTATGTGGGGCGTGTGGAATAGTGTCTTGAACCCAGAGTCAGCCGGTCATCACTGTGCACCTCTTGAATGCTGCATGGTAAGCTTTGCCGATGTAGTGAGGGGATGCTGTGTATGCTAGTTCCTGCTTTCCATTTTCTCTTGCTTTCCTTCTGTTCTGCTTTGATTTTGGTCCCTTGAAATACCTTAATCCAAAATAGAAGTAGGGAAGAGATTTCCCTGTCCGAGAGAGATCCAAGATGGCTGATCACTAGCAGCTCGGGATTGTAGCTCCCAGTGAAAATGCAAAGAACGAGAGGACGCCACACCTTCACGTGAATTCTTGTTGCTCACGCACCAGGAGATTCCCAGCGGAGGAGCCCCACGGTTCACCAGCGCGACTCTTGTGACCGGCGAGGCGGTTTTGCCGGCGCCTCGGAGCGTCGGTTCTTGGTGCAGCGTCAGAAAAGCACCATCAATCTTAACGCCGCTGATTTAGTCGGTGCAGTGGGTTGCTCAGATTTTGGCGCTGAGAATCAGTAAGTTGGACGTCCACTCAGAAGCCCAGTTGCAAAGACGGTGATTATAAAGACCGCAGATGGATACATCTACAACGAAGGGAAGAAAACAGTCAAAAAAGGCTGAGAATACCCAAGATCAGAACGCCTCTCCCTCAGCAGGGGATCCCAGTTCCTCATCAGCAACGGAACAAGGCTTGATGGAGAACGAGTGTGTTCCAATTACAGAAGCAGGCTTCAAAATGTGGATAATGAGAAACTTCTGTGAATTAAAAGAACTTGTTCTTACACAATCTAAAGAAACTAAGAACTTTGAAAAAAGGTTTGACGAAATGTCAACAAGAATACAAAATTTAGAGAGGAAAATAAGTGAATTGATGGAGCTGAAAAACACAATACGAGAACTTCGTGAAGTATGCACAAGTTTTAACAGCCAAATTAATCAAGCAGAAGAAAGGATATCAGACGTCGAAGACCAACTCAATGAAATAAAACTAGAAGACAAGATTAGAGAAAAAAGGATAAAAAGGAACGAGCAAAGTCTCCAAGAAATATGGGACTATGTGAAAAGACCTAATCTACGCTTGATAGGTGTACCTGAATGTGACGGAGAGAATGAATCCAAGCTGGAAAATACGCTTCAGGATGTTATTCAGGAAAATTTTCCCAACTTAGTAAGGCAGGATAATATTCAACTGCAGGTAATACAGCGAACACCACAAAGATATTCCTCAAGAAGAGCAACTCCAAGGCACATAATCGTCAGATTCACCAGGGTTGAAATGAAGGAGAAAATACTAAGGGCAGCCAGAGAGAAAGGTCAGGTTACCCTCAAAGGGAAGCCTATCAGACTTACAGCAGATCTCTCAGCAGAAACCCTACAAGCCAGAAGAGAGTGGGGACCAATATTCAACATCCTTAAAGAAAAGAACTTTCAACCAAGAATTTCACATCCAGCCAAACTAAGCTTCATAAGTGAAGGAAAAATAAAGTTTTTTGTGAACAAGCAAGCACTCAGAGAATTCATCACCACCAGGCCTGCTTTACAAGAGCTTCTGAAAGAACCACTACACATAGAAAGGAACAAACAGTATCAGCCTTTCTAAAAAATGCCAAAAAGTAAAGAACATCAATATAATGAATAATTCACATCAACTAATGGGCAAAATAGCCAGCTAAGATTAAATGGCAGTATTAAACTCACATATATCATTATTAATTCTAAATTTAAATTGACTAAATTCCCCAATTCAAAGACAGGCAATTTGGACAAAAAACTAAAACCCGTCGGTATGCTGCATCCAGACCCATCTCACATTCAAGGATTCACAAAGACTCAAAACAAGGGATGGAGAAAGATTTACCAACCAACCAGAGCAAAAATAAATAAATAAAAAGCAGAAGTTACAACTTTTGCCTCTGATAAAATAGTCTTTAAAGCAACAAAGATCAAAAGAAGCAAAGAAGGACATTATATAATGATAAAAGAATCAATGCAACAACAAGAAAAGCTAAAGACCCTAAATATGTACGCACCCAATACGGGAATACGCAGACATACAAGACTTATAAAGAGACTTAGACTCCCACACAATAATAGTGGGAGACTTCAGCATTAATATTAGACAGATCAATGCGACAGAAAATTAACAATATCCAGGACTTGAACTCAGATCTGGAACAAGTAAATGTAATTAACATTTATAGAACTCTCCACTTTACACAGAATATACACTCATCAGTACCACATCATGTCAACTTAGAAGTTTAAATGAAATGTTGGTTGGCTCCTTGTTTGTTATTCTCTTCCCTCATTCTCTTTCATGTCTCCATCATTAAGGACAATTATAGGCATGCCCGTATTTAGACTGCATTCTAGCCCGGGCAACAAAGCAATACCCCCATCCTCTCTCCTCCCTCTTCCTCTTTCTCTTTTTTCCTCTTCTTTATTCTTTTTCTTATTATTCGTTTTTTCTTTCTAAAGAAAAGAAAAAAAAAAGATTCCTCCTTAGTCGTTTGTGTACCCTCAATGGAAAGTTCACTCTGCCTTCCTTTCCCTAACACCACAATAATTTATTCTGGAATTTCCATATTCCATTGTTTTTTTTGTTTTGTTTTGTTTTGAGACAGAGTTTCACTCTTGTTACCCAGGCTGGAGTGCAGTGGCACGATCTCGGCTCACCGCAACCTCCGTCTCCTGAGTTCGGGCAATTCTCCTGCCTTAGCCTCCTGAGTAGCTGGGTGGGATTACAGGCATGCACCATCATGCCCAACTGATTTTTTGTATTTTTAGTAGGGACGGGGTTTCACCATGTTGACCAGGATGGTCTCGATCTCAAAAAAAAAAAAAAAAAAAAGAAGTAGGGAAGAAAAAATAATAGCTGGAGAACAAGTTGAAAATCTTGACCTCGACTGTCTTTTATTATTTGTTGGCTTTTTGTGTGTGGGTTGGGGAATGGGACAAAGAAATCGTCATTTTTTTTTAAAATTTAGTCTAATTGAGTAATAATTTAAAACAGTGTTCTTCAGTGACTGCCAACTTCCCATGCTTTTTAATGCTTAAATAAAACTCACAGTATATGCTACAGTCTGTGTGTGGTGCTTTATATGTACTATTTTACTTAATCCTTTGTTAAGCGGTATTATTTTGAGGAAACAGAGTGAGAGAGATTGTGTAAGATGGCCAATATCTGACACTTACTGAGTGAAAGACTTGGATCTTAACTACTAGCCTTTTGGACTTCTGCATTTAAGAACTAGTCTCTATTATCTTTCCTTTGAGCTCCTTACTCAGAGAGGAGTTGTAATGAGGATTTCTGTAAATAAATGAGACTCTAAAAAACAAAATACTTACTTTAAACTCCTCTCCATATTTTTCCTTGTTTGTTACCATACCAGTTTCTTTAAACATTTTTTTGAAAAGAGAGATTCACATGTTGCTTTTAGAGACACGTGTCTCCTAGCACATACAACGGACAGTATTTTGCCTTTGCTGTCCCTGGGAGTTTTTATTTTAGTTATTTGGGTTTTAAAAGCGGCATATGATGGCATTTCAATTTGTCATAAAACGAGTGTGCCACCGTGATACATACATCAACGAATTGTAGAGTCTCTTTTTCTTTATTTTGCCCTTGGAGATGTATGACAGCTTTCAGAAAAAAAGGCAGCCACCCTAAGTGACTCATATCAACCGTTTGTAGGGAGATAGGTTGAAAATTTCTCCCAGAGTTTATCCATGTAAAATCACTTCTTTAGCCTTTCCTGTGTCTTTAAAACCTTTTCGTCTCTCTTATACGTCCCTTCTTGTGATAGTAGTATATATCTTAATAACAAATTTAATGGAGTATTCAGTCTTAGAATCAGTTAATATTAAGTGTATAATAAAAACAAACATACATTTATCCAGTCAGTTGTGGCTCCATTATGGAATAACTGTGACCGATGCTTGCATTGTTCCCTTGGTAGCTGAGTAGCTTTAAGAAAGATCATTCCTGCCGGTCTTAGCTTCCTTATCTCTAAAAAGGTGATGGTAACTTCTCTTTAGATATTTGTAAGAGTTGGATGAAATAGTGTGCATTGTAGCTGAAAGCACTTCTGTGCATTGGGGTGGGAGGGAGGACATAACAGTGAGGTACCTTTCTCTCTAAGAACTCAGAGATAAGTTTGCCTTTTGGAAAACAGTTATAAAATTAAAACACAATGGCTAGTGCATGCTGCTGTAGCAGCACATATGCTAAAAAAATCAGAATGAGACAGAGAAGATGAGTATGGCCCCTGCACAAGGGTGACATACAAATTTATGAAACACTTTATGTTTTTAATATAATAAAATTTTAAAAAACACAATGGCTAAATAAACATACAGACCTTTTTTTTTTTTTTTTAAGGCAGGGTCTTGCTCTGTCACCCAGGCTGGAGTGCAGTGGCATAACCTTGGCTTACTACAGCTTTTGCCTCTAGGCTCTAGTGATCCTCCCCGCTAGCCTCCCGAGTAGCTGGGACTGAAAGTGTGTGCCACCATGCCCAGCTCCTTTTTGTGTGTTTTTTTGAGACAGAGTCTTGCTCTGTCGCCAGGCTGGCATGCAGTGGTGCAGTCTCGGCTCACTGCAACCACCCCCTCCTGGGTTCAAGCTATTCTCCTGCCTCAGCTTCCGGAGTAGCTGGGATTACAGACCTATGCCACCATGCCCAGCTAATTTTTGTATTTTAGTAGAGATGGGGTTTCACCATGTTGGCCAGGATGGTCTTGATCTCCTGACCTTGTGATCCGCCCGCCTTGGCCTCCCAAAGTGTAGGATTATAGGCTTGAGCCACTGTCCTTGGCCTTTTTTTGTGTTCTTAGAAGAGAATAGGGTATTACCATGTTGCCCAGGCTGGTCTCAAACTCCTGAGTTCAAGCAGTCCACCCACCTCGGCCTCCCAACGTGCTGGGATTACACGCGTGAGCCACCACACCTGACTCAGACCTCTTAAAGAAACAAATTATGGACAGGCCTATAATTGAGCTCTTAAGATAGATACTTTTTAAAAAAATACCATATGTCAACCAGAAATGTTATTAACTTGTGGCACTTTTAAAAAGCAAACTTATTACAGAGTTTCTGTCTGGGATGACAAAAACCTTTTGGAAATAGTGATAATGGTTATGCAGCATTTTGAACTTAATGCCATTGAAGTGTATACTTAAAATGGTTAAAGTGAAAATTTTATATTGTATAAAAAATATTTTTTACAAAGTACAGTGAATATTTGCAGGGCTCCATTGGGCATTATCTAGGCCAGAGAAAGCTAGAACTGGGATCATCCTGCACAGATCCTGTGACAAGGAGATCTCCTTTTCAGAGTCCAAGCTGGAGGTTATAAACTCTACAAGCTCAGGCTTCTGATCTCTGATGTTCATGGCTGTATTTCTAGCTGTGGCCAGCACACGTTGGATGGATGAATAATCCGACGTGCTTCTTGGTGTATGCCGCTCATTGCTGTTGCTGTGGTGCCAAACAAAACAACATTCTGATTATGGTTTGACTTCCTGTGCAGGGAAGAAACATGCAGGTCAGAGGATGGGTGTCTGGTCCTTTCACCCATTAGTGTTTCATTGTAAATTAATAAATCCATATTTATTATAAATTCTTAACATTCCCAAAACAAGTTGAAGTTTTACAACTTGACAGCAAGAGGTGTGCTAGATACTTTTTTTTTTTTTTTTTATAATGACTGCCCTCAGTACACGTGAGGAATGTGAGCCACAAAGACTATTGATACGACAATGAAAAAGCTGTTTTTGGCGGGGCTCACTAGCAATATTTCCATCAATAGGTGCTCACATCAACTAATGCTTAAAAATGGTTTTCTTGGCTGGGCGCGGCGGCTCAAGCCTGTAATCCCAGTGCCTTGGGAGGCCGAGGCGGGTGGATCACGAGGTCAAGAGATCGAGACCATCCTGGTCAACATGGTGAAACCCCGTCTCTACTAAAATACAAAAAAAATTAGCTGGGCATGGTGGCGCGTGCCTGTAATCCCAGCTACTCAGGAGGCTGAGGCAGGAGAATTGCCTGAACCCAGGAGGCAGAGGTTGCGATGAGCTGAGATTGCGCCATTGCACTCCAGCCTGGGTAACAAGAGCGAAACTCTGTCTCAAAAAAAAAAAAAAAAAAAAAAAAAAAAAAAAAAAAAAAATGGTTTTCTTCTACTTTGCATTGTCATTATCTTCCAGGAATGGGTTTCATTATTGTGGGGTTGTTTGTTTGCTTGTTTAATTCATAGTTTTCTATTCCAACAATGACTTGTTAATCACGTTTGTTTCAAAAAAGATGAAAAAAAAATTTTGTGGTCTCTTTAGGGCTGCAGTCTTGCTTAAAAATGAACTGAATCTGGAAATATTTTTACTAAGAAAATTAAAAGTTTCAAAGCTTGGGCTGGGCGCGGTGGCTCAAGCCTGTAATCCCAGCACTTTGGGAGGCCAAGGCGGGTCGATCACAAGGTCGACAGATCGAGACCAACCTGGTCAACATGGTGAAACCCCGTCTCTACTAAAAATACAAAAAATTAGCTGGGCGTGGTGGTGCGTGCCTGTAATCCCAGCTACTCAGGAGGCTGAGGCAGGAGAATTGCCTGAACCCAGGAGGCGGAGGTTGCGGTGAGCCGAGATTGCACCATTGCACTCCAGCCTGGGTAATGAGAGCGAAACTCCGTCTCAAAAAAAAAAAAAAAAATTAGTCTTGGCATCTTACTGGTTTCCTAATTAGTGAGTTAAATCTTTTATATGTGTTTATTAATTTTGAGAATTATTATTTTACTTTACCGAAAATTTTTGCTTAACAATACAGTAAGAAAACACAATTCTGGGAATTAAAGGAGCTATTTGTTACTTTGAGCAAGGTACTGAACTCTGGTTTTCTGCATTTAAAAAAATAGTGAGGTTGACTGAGACAAACCTCTAGTTTGTGATTCTATGATTTTATGATTCTGTGATTCCACAATGTAATATTCTCTAGGTCCAAGGTCCACTGTCCTAAGTTTGTTAATATTTAGGTAAATTGGCATAGAATCAAGGAACTAAAGTATCTCATGTATATAAAAATTGCGTAAGTGCTTTTTGGTATTTTCACCACACATGTGCACATAAATCACCATCATATAAGATACTTTGTTTGTCGTTTGTAATTCTTAAAAAGAAATTATCAACCTGGTGAAACCCCGTCTCTACTGAAAATAGAAAAATTAGCCATGCTTGGTGACAGGTGCCTGTAGTCCCAGCTACTCGAGAGGCTGAGGCAGGAGAATCTCTTGAACCTGGGAGGCGGAGGTTACAGTGAGCCGAGAGTGCGCCACTGCACTCCAGCCTTGGGATAGAGTGAGGCTACCTCCAGAAAAAAAAAAAAAGAACAGGAATTATATTACTTGAATTGCTGTTGACAGTTTTCAGTAGTGAGTAAAGGAAGAGTAAGCAATCTCCAGGCAGCTTTTTAGATAAGAAGAAAAATTTATTTGCCTTTAAAAATTCTTGGCTTATAACACCATTAGTGCTTATAGAAAGTGATGGCTATTATTGTAGTCTGAGACTTTTAAAAACGATTATTATGTTCAAGAAGCATTTCTAAAACATCCAGCCTTACAGAGCATTGCATTAGTAAATGTAAGAAATAAATTGAAACTTTTATTCCTGCTGTTTGGGTAGTCACTATTAAGCATCAATATGGTAGGTATGTCTGAGTCACCTCAGGCTACTTTAACAAAACACCACAGACTGGGTGGCTTAGAACACAGAAATTTATTTTCTCACAGTTCTAGAGACTGGAGCCTAAGACAAGGTTCCGATCCACTAGGTTTCTAGTGAGGACTTTCTTCCTGGCTTGCAGATGGTGCCTCCTTGCTAAGTCCTCACATGGCCTTCCTCTTGCAAGCCCACAGGGAGGAAGGGAGCAAGTGAACGAGCTCTCTGATGTCTGTCTATCAGGACACTAATCCTGTTGTATCAGGTCCCCAGCCTTACGACCTCACTGAACCTTAATTACTCTCTGAGAAGCCCCTTCTTCAAATATCACCACAGAGGGTTAGGGCTGCAACATAAGAATTTGGGGAGGGCATAAACATTTAGTCTGTGATCTGTGATACTGTTAGGCAAGAAGTCACACATCTGAGGTACAGACGAAGGATGGTAAGGAGTAGTTGTCTCCAGAGGAGGCCTTGTCATTGTTGAAGACAGCCAAGAGTTGATGAGTTTGATGCCAATCTGGTGCTTCTAGAAATAAAAGATACTCATTATACTGACCCACTACTATTTATCTGTTCTAATTTTTCAGTGGTGACATGGTTTTCCCAATAGGAAAAAAGGGCAATATACTTGCTTTTCTTTTAGTTTGGATTTTAAGCCTGGGACCTTTTTAGGTCAAGATGTATGTTTAGATTGTTTCAGCAATTTGTGTAACAGTATCCCAGAAGGACTAGTGTCTTGTATTCTCCTAACTCTTGGTTTTTCTACCTAACTGCCTTTACTGGTTTGGTGCTAATGGGAATATTGCCATTTAGGGAAAAATAAAACATGATCTTTTGTAAATCTTGGGGTGGCTTTCTTGGTTTAGAATAATCTAGTACGTGTAGGTGGAGTTATGTCCAGCCCTTTGGCTTTACTTCATGCCTAATGCCTTTTCTCAGCATTTATGAAAGCTCTTTGACTTCTGTATACATCATGATAGCACCTTGTAAATCCTCTTAGTAATACTTTTCTATTATGAAGGTGTAAACACTGTTGTTTCTACCCCATTTACTTCTCCCTGTTCCATTTTTATAAGACTTTTAACCTGCAAATGTTCCAGGTTATTAATTTAAAACAGCCAGCCAAATAGTAGAAGCTTCTTTCTCATCTGTGATGAGCTGACCTGTTTTGTTTTCTTTTTCTTTTTTTTTTTTTTTTTTTTTTTTTTTTTTTGAGACAGAGTTTCACTCTTGTTACCCAGGCTGGAGTGCAATGGCGCGATCTCGGCTCACCGCAACCTCCGCCTCCTGGGTTCAGGCAATTCTCCTGCCTCAGCCTCCTGAGGAGCTAGGATTACAGGCACGCACCACCATGCCCAGCTAATTTTTTGTATTTTTAGTAAAGACGGGATTTCACCTTGTTGAGCAGGATGGTCTCGATCTCTTGACCTCGTGATCCACCTGCCTCGGCCTCCCAAAGTGCTGGGATTACAGGCTTGAGCCACTGCGCCCGGCGAGCTGTCCTGTTTTTACCTGATTTCCTTTTCAAATTCAATTTGGAAATCTCAGTTTTCTTAATCTTTTGAATAAGATTAATATTTTGAGCTACTACTTTACTTTCCTGA